CAGAGCTAAAGATGGCCCAGAATAAAAAAAGAAAAAAGAAAAAAAGGAGCAGTTGGGAGCTTCAGTCACCCGCCAGCCAGAAAACGGCCCTCAGCCCCTCAGCCAGCCTGGCCAGGCACTTCAGTGGGGACCCCCACCCTGATCTAGGACACCCTTCAGGGCAAACCAGCCAGCCCCCACCCATGCACCAGGCCTCTATTCTATATAGTAAAAGGGTAATATGCCTCCTGGCACCGGATCAGCGGAGCCATGAGGCCTCCCGGCACCGGGATCAGTCTGTGCGTGACAGGGGGTGGCGCCGAACCTCCCCATCGACCCTGCCTTGAGTGTGACAGGGGGTGGTGCCCCAACCCCCCAATCGGCCCTACCCTGATCGTGACTGAGGGTGGCATCGCAACCTCCCGATCCGCCCTGCTCTGTGCATGACGGGGTGGCACCCCAACTCCCCAGTCGGCCCTGCTCTGAGCCTGACCAGGGGCTGCACCTAGGGATTGGGCGTGCCCTCTGCCACCTGGGAGCAGGCCTAAGCCGGCAGGCGTTATCTCCCGAGGGGTCCCAGACTGCGAGAGGGCACAGGCCGGGCTGGGGGACCCTCCTCCCCTCCCCCTGCCCCCAGTGCACAAATTTTTGTGCACCGGGCCTCTAGTATATATATAAAACTATATTATCCTAGATAATAAAAGCGTAGTATGCAAATTGTCTTCTCAACCGGGAGTTCATCCAGGAGTTCGACCAGGGGGCAGGGCCGGCCTGGGAAAGGGAGGGAGGCTCTGGCTGGTGGCAGTGGCGGCAGGAGGCTGGGGGAAGAGAGGAAGTACCCTGCCAGCAGCCAGCAGCCGCTAAGGACCCTACCAGTGCACAAATTTCGTGCACTGGGCCTCTAGTACTATATATTTATATAAATAACTTTATATAATCTATTTTTAATTGTATAATTAATTTAAATGTAAAATTAATCTAAATTTATATTTATTTTTGACATATATTGTATATATAGTATATTTCATATATATATAGAGAGAGAGAGGGAAAAAGAGAGAGAGGAAGAGAGAAGGAGAAAGACTGGAAGAATTTGAGAATTCACAATAACAATGATGACAGTGGCAACAAGTGAAATGGCTGTTTGTTTGTTTATAGCAACCATCACCTATAGGGCACTTAATATATTAATATTTATTTTGTTTTAAACAAGTTTATATTTATTTTCATATTTGTATTGTCTTATTGTACACATATTACATATTCATAGTAGAAAAAGAATACAAAGTAACAAAAATCACTAGAAATTTCAGGATATAGAGATAACCACTGTTAGTATTTAGGTATATATTTTCTAGACTTTTGCTTTCAATCAACAAAAATCTGGACTTCTTGTTAAGTTAAGTGAAACCTGAGTACATTATAAATATGGCTTCCTATTGTTTGATGTGTGGTTTTAGCCTTCTTTGTAGTCTTAGTATTAGATTATTTTACATACTTTATAGCTGATATTTATAACAACAGTGGGGCCTTGACTTACGAGTGTCCCGACTAACGAGTTTTTCGAGATTTTCTCTCGGCCGATTTTTTGCTTTGAGTTGCGAGCTAAAATTCGGGTTACAAGCCAGCTTCAGATACCCCACCGCTAGTTGGCGCAGCGAACGTCACAGTGAACGCCACAACATCAGCCCAGCATCATGTGTCTCACTTGTTCACTTTAAGATTTGACATACGAGTAATTTGAGTTACGAGCTCCGTCATGGAACGAATTAAACTCGTAAGTCAAGGCCCCACTGAACTTTGCAAAGTAGAACTACATTTTTAAGTGAAGAATCCAAGATTCAGAGGCACAATGAATTGCCTAGGTCACACAGCAGTAAGGGATAGAATTATAATTCAAACCCTGGACTGTCTGCCTCCAAGCCTATAGATGAGATTACCTTTTGCCCAAGGCTCCTTTCACGTTTTTACTTATATCATTAGCACTCAGTTTTATAGCACTGTGGTAAGAAAATATATTTATATAATTTTCCTCTTGATTCATTTTTGGTGCCTTATTTGAGAGTTAGTATATATGTACCAGTGCCCTATACATTGAAAAAATGTATAGTCCATGTGTCATTGAGTTGAATATATGTCTACTGGTTCTAACTTATTGTGTTCACAACCTCTATGTTATTTTTTAAATTTACATCTATTTTTGTCACATCTTCAATATCTTCTAAATTTGTCTTTTTAAAATTTTTTAATATTACCTTTTTTTTTTGTTTCAGCTTGATAATGAGTTAACACTTCCCATTACCCTTGGTTATTATCTATCTATCTATCTATCTATCTATCTATCTATCTATATTTATTCTATTTCTCTTTGCATTTCTTACTTTGGTAATCCATGTCCTCACTGTTGATTCTGTAGTTTTCATTATATTCAAGAGCCTCTTTGCACCCTCCCTTCATCTTTTTGGCCTCAAAATCTTTTTTATGTGATATCAATTTTACCAACTTTATCAATTTTGTTTCTTTTTGTTGTATGAGTTTCCACAGTTAAACTTGTTTATTTTTAACATTTCTGCATCTTTTTTGTTGTAGACACCTATTTTAAGCAACAAAGATATTTTTGTATTTTAAGCAACAAAGATATTTTTGGGTTTTATGGCTTTTAAAAAAATGCTCCTCAGGATGAGAGAGAGAGAGAGAGAGAGAAAGAGAGAGAGAGAGAGATTGAAACACTGATGTGAGAGAGAAACATAGATAGGTTGCCTCCCTTACACTCCCTGACCAGGCATCAAACCTGAAACCTTTTGGTGTATGGGACGACGCTCCAACCAACTGAGCCACCTGGCCAGGGTGATCTTTAATCAATATGAGAATTTGTCCTTCGAGAAATGAAAGGCCTAAAAATATGGACTCCACTGGGATGCAGATAGTGATATGAGATGATCAGCTACTGCCTGACCTTGGACTTCCTGCAAGTTACATAATTTCACCGCTTGATCATCTGTAAGATTCTGTTAACAAGAATACCACTCTCATGGAGTTGTTGTGAAGATTAAATGAGATCAAGAACACTGAAAAATAGAAGCATATTAAACTATTATTTGTAAAATGTAATTGTCATTTTTTACTATTATAGACATCATGCCTAGAAATATCATTCAAAGCAAGTTTCTGGGCAATAGTATATAAAGAAAGTCCCTTAAAATAAAGACCTATGCTCGAGATGGGGTAATCAGTTCCATACTTTTCTCAAACCATGTCTCCGATTTCTCTCTGACAGAATGGGAATAACTTACATTAAAGTTGCCGGGAAGCGGTGGCCCCAACACCCCTCAGGTTTCAGTTCAACTTGTCCGCTTCTACTTCGGAATTTCACAGCTTGACTTAAATTCAGCCATGTCCGGAACCACCACCTCGCTTTCCATTTAATTAGCGAGGTGTTTAGATTGTACAAATAAGTTGTTTGCTCTCATGATGGATATTGAAGCTGCAGGCTTAGTCGGCCCTTCTCAGCAGGCGTAGAAAAACCTGAAATGAAGAAAAACAAATCAAGCAATGATGAATTTCTCTACTTCCTGGATCGGGTAACTTGCTCGTCCAATGAAAGCCATCTGGTGGGCAGCCAGACAGGAGTACTGACTCTCAGCCGGTGGGTCTCTGTCCAGCGTCCAGCAGCCCTCCAACCCCTGCACAGCTGGAACCTCTGCTCAGTGAAAGCTGCTAGGAAGTGAAAGGGAATTCTTATTCACTTCTGCTCCTGAGGACCAATGAGGGACAGAGAGGAAAGCTAAAAAAAGTCTGAGGTTTAAATGAGAGCCCATATTTAACTTTCCAAAATGGTCTTGGAATTTTAGAATCCAGATAACCTTAAATCACACAATGCTATGGTGCCAAACTGAAGAATAAAATAATCTATAATATTACCGTCTGATGGACTCCAGAATGACATGATTTATTTTTAGTTGATGGCTTCAGATGTCTGACGGCTTCTGGGGGATCACTCAGAGGGAGATATGGGTCCCCCACCTGATGCAATAGAGTGGTTTTCTTAAACTTCTTTGATAAGCATCATCATTTTTATCACTCGTTAAACATACCCTTCTAAGTCCCTCCCTGGAGATTCACATACAGTGGGTCTGGGATGGGACCTCAGATTTGAGTTCTTAATATCAGGAAAGCTTGGGAAATACTGGAGGAGAATGAGGGAATAGTCTGTTTTTAGAATCAGACAGCTTCAGGCTTAAATCCTGGCTTTTTCTCTACTGCTTATGTAGTCTTGCACAAATTACTTCACCTTTCTTAGCCGAATCTGAAAAAAAGTGGAGATAAAAACCTCTACCTCAAACTATTGAGAGGATTAAAAGGACTAAACCTCTTTATGGCATCCACTTTTTGGGTGCTGCTAAATCATTTCCACCTGGATTAATTTGAAGATTATCCATGAACTAATTTAGCACAGGTACACATTTTTAAACTTACCTTTTCCATTTGTTCAGTGTCTGCGGTGTGCAAGAAGCTGGGATTCCAAGCATCTCCCTGATGGTATGGCGTGTCCCTGTGGCCCATCCCAGGCTTCTGAAGGGACTGCCCAGATGTCTTGCTTCACGTAGCCTCCCCTAATTATTCAGGGTGCCTCCTGATGTTAGCAGTGCCAGGGTCTTATTCCTCCCTTGTGCCAGAAATTCCAATTTTCTTGAATCCAGTCATATCTATATGTCTTTTCTCTGCAGTGGAGGCAATTTTCTCCCAGCTTTATTAAGATATTATTGACATATAAACTATGTAAGTTTAAGTTGTACAGTATGATGTATATGCATGGATATGTTGCAAAATGATTTCCACAATAAGGCTGATAACATCTTTATTCTTTCACAAAAAACATTTTTTTGTGTGTATGATAATAACATTAAAGTCTACTCTCTTAAAAACCAAGCATATAATACAGCATTGCTAATTATAGTTACAATGCTGTACGTTAGATCCACAGATCTCATTGATGGGATTTGTATCCTTTGATCAACATCTAAAAATATGGACACTTCACAAAGTTGCATGTCATCCTTGTGCAGGGGCCATACTAGTCTTCTCTATATAGTTCCAATTTTTGTATATGTCTATCAAAGCAAGCACCATGTATATATATATTTTTTTCCTTCAACAGAAAATATACATTTACATTATTCCATTTGATTTTCACACAAAAATATTCTAGGTGATTTGCATTATGCAGTTTTCCCTTCCTGGACAGAAAAGTGTTTGTACTTTTTTTTCTTCTATCCTAATAGCCAGAATGCAATGGATTTCTGAGGAATATATTTATACTTTCTATTATCCTTGCTTCAAAAGGATTTAAGGCAACATTTTAAAGATTCAAATAATGTATGATGTATTAAAAAGATAATTTAGGTAGGGAAGTGAGGGTGGGAAAAGAAGGTGAATTCAGGAATGAGGTGACACATCAAATACATGTTGCACTGTTCTTTTCACTCCCCAGTCGTGGGCCAGATGTTTGGCTCTGAACTCTCAAGCCTTCACAGCAAATTCCCTGCAGACAAAAGATGAAGGTGATGACCCTCAACCCGATTATTAGGGTGATCATCTCTACGAGTTCTGAACATTGTTTTAACTTTTCCACTAGCCCAAGACTTTAGGGTCAACATTAGGGTCATTAAGAATCTACAGAGGGGACATGAATCACCATAGAAAACTATGTGCTCTCCAACATTCCAGCCAAATGCAAAATGGATCAAGGAATAAGCAGGCCCCCTGCGGCAGAGGAGATGGTAGCTGGGTGGAAGAGCTGGGCAAAGGTTCGGCCTGGCCCAAAAGTCATAACCATGGCAACAGTAGAGATGGCCATTCTACCCCAGCCAGCAATAACACCCTTAAGAGGCACCAGCAAAGACGTGAGCCTGTCATACTCCGGGCTGGGCTTTTGGTGAGGGAAATTTAATTTTTACGCGTTATCACCGGGGGAAAATAAACAGCTTCTTTCACATTAACCTTGCAAACCCAAATCTACAAAGTAAAGATGAGTGTCCAGCTGCACAGCCTGGCTGAGGCCTGGTGGGTCTCTGGTATCGGAAACCTGTGGCCTGCCTCAGCTTGGCCTTTTATTTATTCTTTTTGCTTTCTAGGAACAGTGCTGCACAGGACTTTCTACAAGAAAAGCCCGGAGGAGGATAGCTGCTTTTGAAGCCACCAATCTTGTCGGCCTCATTCATTTCAAACAGAGGCACTTCTCAGAGAGACGAAGGCCTGTGTATGAACAATGCCCACTGCATTCTCTTGCCATCAGCTGCAATAGCGTGGCTTTTGATTCTGTACAGAAGCACCTTGTTTCAGAAGCTGATTGATGGTTCTTCTGAATGAAAGAGGCAAGGAGAACAAACGGGCAGAGCTCCTGGTAAGGCAAGGCACTTCAAGAGAATGGGCTTGAAAGCACTTAAAATAACAGGTAAACACCAGCCTCCATGAAAGTAAAGATTCCTGAAAGGCACCGAGCTGTTCCTGACAGAGAATTTGTAGGTCCCAGGGATCTCCACGTGTTTGTGCCAACACACATAGCTCCCGGACTTGGGATTTTGGTGGAGGGGAAAAAAAGTTAAATCCAAATAGATGTCACGAAGCAGGAAATCTAAGTGAAATAAAAACACTGGCGGTCCGAGCGGGGTCTAAGGAAGTGGACAGGAAACAATGCATTGAGAGAGCTGGGGATGAGCATCTCTGCCTGGGAGAGGGCATGCGATTTCTCTTTAGAAAGACACGCAGAGCCCTGAAAGGCATCTTATAAACACCTGGGTGGCGCTAGCACCGCTCTGAGAGATGGGCCGCCTCGTCCCCCTCAACTTTTGTCCTTCCTTTTTGCCTAATAGAAACAAACCAGCTAAAACAAAACAGGAGAAATCTAGCCATATTAAATACTCAAAACAAATTTAAGTATAGTTGGCAAGCAATGTTATATTAGTTTCCCGTGTAAAATATGGTGATTTGACAGAAACCTTACCATGTGATCACCACACTAAGGTTAGTAATCCTCTGTCAACGTGCAGACTTATCACAGCACCATGGACTCCATCCCCTTCCCCTTGACCAGTTAAGTGTCCTTATTGACTGAGCCTCTCTTAGTCGGACTTCCTGTTGCCTGAAGCACCCTTACGGACACATTACCCTTCCTGAGGAAAGAGTGTAGCTGGTGGCGCACAGAGACATCTGACACTGAGTGAGTGTAGAGGCTGAGGACCAGGCTTTTGCACAGGCAGGTAGGGTTCAAAAATGCGCAGGTGGCCTGAAGGACAAGCATTCCCTGAGATTCTTTCCCAGTGCAGAAAAGTGTATGTGGGCATGAGCTTATGCTATGCACCAAGTACTAGTCACATGACCTTGGGCCTTCCTTCTAACCTCGGGGAGCCTCCATTCATCCGTCTTCAAGTGGGGATAACAGCACCTATGTCACTTGGTTTGATGAGGATCGGATTTGATTGTGCACGTGAACTTGCTTTGGACATTTTTAAGGGCAGCTCCGGTGCCATGTCAGAGCCTAGCTTGGTGCCTGGCACATAGTAGGGGTGCTCAATAAGTATCTGTTGGGTCCATGTGCTGTGCTTGTTGTCCCCATGAGGGTTGTTGACACTGCATCCTGAGCCTGGGGATTGGGCTGCTGTCTGACTAATTGCTCCATGCAGCACCTACTCCAGACGTAACTTGAAGGGTTTTATTAAATGCCTTTTTCCTGGGCAGTGATGGATTGGGTACTGTGGCCTGGATAGAGAATTCAGCTCTTGTATTTCCCACTAAATACGCTGTGAAGAAGTGTCTGTTTTGATCAAGGACACTGTCAATTATTCCTCCCATTCGACATCCTCTATGATTTAGGGTGTGAAGGCATCTGGTGGCTTTAACCTATCACTGTTGTGTGAGATATTTTGGCTCCAACCAACAGGGCTGTGTCCAAGGCAGGCTGGCCCCCTGTGAATGCCCAGGCTGCTGAATCCGGCACCGCCAGGTGACAGGTGGTGCCTTTAAGTGCTTGTAGAACAAAAGGAGACAGTGACAACTGGTTCTCAAAAGCTTCCCTATGCCAGACGACTCAGGAGACTATTTGCTTCTTTCAGGCTGGCCCCCGGTAACATTACCCACTTTCCCCGCCTGCACATCATCGTATATTTTATGCGTCCACTCCCGGATCTCACTGCCTCTTGGCCTCTCCCTGCTGGGCTCCCTGGACTGCTGCTCGCTGCTGACTCCCTGACACTGAGCTGCCCCTGGTTTTGGTCTGGCTGTGCTCCATGCCACGCGGGATGGGAAACAGGCAGGAACACCGCGGGGGACCGACTGCGTGGCATGTAAAAAGGGCTTGTTTCCGGTTGCTCCCTGGAAGGAGTTACATTGGAGTAAGACAGGGAAGAAGGTCAGGTGTCAGGCGCTGAAAGGCATCAGGCGAGTGAGACTGGAGACGCCGCAGCCTGGGTGACGTAATGAGTAGCAGAAGTTGAACACAGTATCTAAGCACTAAGACGTAGCTGGTGTAACACTGATGAACAAACATGGGATGGCCAAGTGTGGGGTCAGTGATGGGAGAGAGGACCTCACAGCACACACTGATGCCCGTTTCCACACGAGAGTATCAAATGTTTGTCTCTCTCTCTTTGTAAATATTTCTGGATCTCTTCATTTGCTTTTGCTTAGACACTGTCTTTTATACATACTCAAGTTTTCTAATTTAATATTTTTTAGATTTCTTTTAATGCTCACCCAAGGTTACGTTTATTGATGAGAGAGAGAGAGAGAGAGAGAGAGAGAGAGAGAGAGAGAGAGAAACAGCGATGTGAGAGAGAAATATCGATTGCCTTTCCTATGCACAGTGACAGGAGATCGAACCTGCAAACTGGGTATGTGCCCTGACTGGGAATCGAACTTGAAACTTTTTTGTTGTACAGGATGATGCTCCCACCAACTGAGGCACCAAGCTGGGCTCTAATTTAATTTTTTAAGTTAAACTTTTTATTTTGAGATAATTGTAGATTCACACGCAGTTGTAAGAAATAATACAGAGAGGTTCCATGTGCGATCCCCCAGTTTGCCCCAGTGCCCTGCAGCTGGTAAATGTTTGCTCAGTCGGGGAATTGGTTCCACAAACATAACATTGACTGTTTGATGTGGGCAGTGCCGGCACTGGGTAGTGTGGGGTCATGCAGGGGAACAGGAAGGGATAGGAACCATGATGAAAAGGCCCCTGTCCCTGTCACTTACAGGCCTGACTCTGAGCATGGCCTGGTTCACTGCTCTTCTTTCTGGGCCTTTCTCTCGGGGGTGCCCAGCCCCAGGGGGACCAGCTGGAGCTTCGGTAAGCCTGTTGCCGAAGAGAGTCAGAGGTCATGAGCCCTCCCCCTACACCCCAACCCAGACACACGCCGTTTCCTAAAAGAAAGCCACTTGTCAGAGTTGGACGAGAACTGTCAAGGAATTCAAATCCACCGCTAGTCACAGCCCTAGTTTCCCTGCATTGGTGTAAAAATATCATTACTTTTTCATCAAAACTGAAAATAACAGCAAAGAAAACCAGAGAGCTAGGTGAGGTTGGACAGGAGTCAGGATTGTTCCGGAGACGGAAGCACAGTGATTCAATGCTGTGGACATGCACCTGTGGGCACAGGCCCGCCCCTGCCTCCCGCCCCCACGCCTGGTCCCCATCCTGCTGCACGGAACTCAGCTGGGCTTCCCCACGGCCCCTGAGCCCATGGTTGCCCTGCATGAGCCCAGATGGCTGCCTTTGTGATGGCTCTGTGATGCCTCATTACCCGTGTTATGTACTAGTATGTGCATCCCATGTTAAGTTCACGGCATCGACTGTGCTAGGGTAATGGATTGGCTAGCGACTCTGTTTCTGAGCAGTTACCCAGGCTTGCCATCTGGCGAATCTAATAACCAGATGGTGAACCTAAATAACCTCACTTTGGTGGAGGTAGAAGGGACTCCAGTTGGCTCTGTTCTTGCCATCTGCAGCCTCCTTCTTTTGGAGCGAGATGTCCCGAGAATCAGTCATGCTAGTTCTTAATTGAGTAGCTATTTGTTATCAGAAACACTCCCACTTCACGTTTGCTGAACTCGGCTCTCCAGCGTCTTCAC